TGTCACAGGGATACACTGTTTCTGTATCTCACTGTCACAGGGATACAGTGTTTCTGTATCTCACTGTCACAGGGATATACGGTTTCTGTATCTCACTGTCACAGGGATATACTGTATCTGTATCTCACTGTCATAGGGATATACTGTATCTGTATCTCATGGTCACACAGATACATTGTATGTGTATCTCACTGTCACAGAGCTATACTGCACCTGGATCTCACTGTCACCTGGATCTCACTGTCACAGGGATATACTGCACTTGTATCTCACCGCCAGTTGGCCGAATGGCTAGTTTGTGATGGAGTGAGATGCCAACAGTGTGGGTTTAATTCCCATCACTGGCTGAGGTTACCATGAAGGACTCTCCTTCTCAACCTCTCTCCCTTGCCTGAGACAAGGTGACCCTCAGGTTAAACTACCATCAGTTATCTCTCTCTCTCTCTCTAATGGGAGAGCAGCCCTAAGGCAACTTTGCCTTTTATTTCTTTTTTATTTCAGGAATATACTCTACTCATAAAAATCTTAATGTACATTCATAGTCACTAGAGCAGTTCGATTCTGTACACAGTCTTCACATACGCAGAATGAACAAACCCAAGGCATTTCTTACTTATAAAAGTATTATATTTTCATGTATTTGAGGCACCAGGATGATCTAATAACTGAACAGACCCTCATTTAACTTTGGCAGAAAGACCTCAGCCAGTGGTCTTTCCCCAGTGCACCTTGGTACAGCTGCCCCAAGCTTTAGTTAGTCCCTCAGCACATTGTCCTGGTTCTCGGAATGTGCCAGTCTGCAACACTCAGTCGAGGTCAACTCCTCGTTCTGGGAGACCAACATGTTTCGGGCAGACCAAGGAGCATCTTTCACTGAGATGATGGTCCTCCAGGTGCAGTTGATGTTTGTCTCAGTATGCGTCCTGGGGAACAGACCGTAGAGCACAGAGGCTCATGACATGGTGCTGCTTGAGACGAACATCAACAAGAACCACTGCACCTTTCTCCAAACTGCCTTTGCAAAGGCACTGTCTAGAAGGTGTGTGACAGCCCCTACCACTGACCCCCACCCCACCACAAGGACAGTGTGTGGTGTAGACTGACCGGGTGTACATGAAGGATCTCACAGGTAGTGCCCTGCTCACCACCAGCCAAGCGATGTTTTGGTGTTTGTTGGAAAGTTCTGGTGATGTGGCATTCTGCCAAATGACTTTGACAGTCTGCTCAGGGAACCACCCAACAGGATCCACCCTCTCCTTTTCTTTCAGGGTCTCTAGGACGCTACATGCTGACCACTGCCTGATGGACTTGTGGTCAAAGGCACATTTCTTTGTGAATTTCTCCATGAAGGACAGGCATTACAGGACAGTCCAACTACTTGGAGCATTCCATGGCAATGAGGCCAGTCCCATCCTTCACAACACTGGGGACAGGTAGAACCTCAGTACGGAGTGACACTTGCTGTTTGCATACCGAGGGTCTACGCACAGCTTGAAGCAGCTGCACACAAAGGTGGCCATCCGGGTGAGAGCAGCATTGGGTACGTTCTTGCCCCCACTCCCCTTATCCAGAGTTTTGTATATGGTATCCCTGCAGACACTGTCCATCTTAGACCTAAAGGTGAAATGAAAGATAGCTCAGGTGACTGCAAAACGGTACAGGTTCTGGGCCAGATCTCTGCCACATTCCTTTACCTTTTACTTTATTATTTTGAAAATATGCTATATTCATTAAAAAAATCTTTCTATGCACATGACACAAACGTAGTTCAGTTCTGTACAGTAGCATGTCAAGGAAACAAACAAACATTAGAAAACAAAAGAACTGCGGATGCTGTAAATCAGGAAACAAAAACAGAAATTGCTGGAAAAGGTCAGCAGGTCTGGCAGCATCTGTGAAGGAAAAAACAGTCAACATTTTGGGTCTGGTGACCCTTCCTCAGAACAGTTCTGGGCTGAGCTTTTCCAACAATTTCCAACAAACATCAGAGTTTGACTCTATCCAAACTGAAGGCATCTCTTGCACATACAAGACTACATTTACATGCATTTGAGACGCTAGCAGGGTCCGATAACTGAACGGACCCCCATTTACCTTTTACTGTCACAGAAAGATCAACATCTGCAGGTGCTCTGGCATGGATACCTGTGTGACCCTGACACAGACAGTGACCTTGACACCTCCATCTGTCACAGAGATATTTGATATTTATTGTTAAAACACAAGTTACAAGCCATGGTAAGCCATTAAAAGTTAAGCTTTGAGCAACTGTAAGACAGATGGAGGTAATTTGCAAAGAAATGGGATTTAAACACAGACAATGCTGTCTGAGCACAGCAAGAGAAGAAAGGCAGCTTATTATAGCAGATACTCCACTGACAATAGGTCTACCCTAAGGCTTGTCGCAACTTCATCCTCACTTGCACCCCACGCTTTAGCTGTTTAGTTTTAACTTCCAGCGGCTACAGGTTGGTTTCAGAGCAAGTCGTTGTGCTGAGGGTTATTATCTGAAAGCTGTCAGCTAACAACAGTTTAACAGTGGCGGGGAGGCGGGGATGATGCAAATGGGTCAGTGCACAACCGCCCCCGACCTTTTACCCTTCCATACGTGACAGCAGTTTCCAATACCCCCTCCCCAAGTCTGTGCATGAACTCAAACTCCTCACCTTTCAGGTAGTCGTGCATCCGTTGGTCCAATTGGGTGGAAAAGTTCAAACCCATCGCTGCCAGGGAGTGAGGTGCAACTCGCTGAGAGGGCTGGAGTGGGATGGGGAGGGGGAGGAGGGGAAACTAGAGGGTGGTGGGGGTGGGGGGTCACCAGGGAGTTGCTTCCGAGCTGGTTGCTGAGTGATTCTCACGGGGAGCTTCTGAGTCTCCTGAAGGGTGAGGCAGAGGAAATGTATTTCCCCAGCATCGCCCAGAGCAGACCTCACCGTCACAGTGAGTCAGTGCACGAATATGTAACAGCGTCTCACATTACCGCGGGCACTGAACGTGTTCACCATCCCCACCCCCACAGGATGTTTTAGGGCAGGGATGAGATGGCACCCCGCTTGCCCCTGTTAGTGGGTACAGCCTCTCTGTCCTGGTCTCAGTGCCCCAAGTGTGCTTCCTACTCTCTCTGACTGCACTTAACTGAGCTCTGGCAAGGGCAGGGCTCGGCTTTAAAGTCGACCACAGCGACTAGGGGGGCTGGAGGGAGTTACTTTCTCAGGATCCTCACAAATCCAATAAGCTGCGGGCCCCCAAAGCGCAATGAAGTGGATTCACATCCGGCAGCTTGAGGAATCTGCTGGTCCACCTGCTGCTGGAATGTGGCCGGTTCACATTCCCCCACCCCCTTCATCAGCTGATTTTTTTATTTTGGTGAGGTTTTTGCTCTTGCTCACACACCGCAGGCGAGTGTGTGCCCTTTGCTCTGTAGGATCCCAGACAACAAGGTGCAGGGCTGGATGAACACAGCAGGCCAAGCAGCATCATAGGAGCAGGATGAA